CGTGCGGGTTAAATAGGTAATTCTAAGTTTACAAATGCAAGATAATATAGTCAAGATTGATTATAATTGTCAATAAAATAATTGTATAGGTATGGTTGAAACCAAATACGGGACATAAGGGAGAACAAATAAAAATTAGGGCATAAAATATTAAATATATACTAATATTGTTTGAGGAGATTTCGACATTAGGATTTGTGGTTAAGTTCTATTAAGACTTTAATATTAGAATTAGATTAATGGTGTAATTATAATTCTATATTAGACGTTAATATTATAATTAGACTAACGGTGAATTAACGGTATTTAACGAAAAAGTTAAATGGATAATCATATAATTAAGGATAAATTAGAAAAATTTAAAAAAAAATTAAAACCTGAACAATTTGAACCATTCATTTGATTTAATAATTTGGCGGTCATTTTTTCTACCCAATGTTAATAATTAAATAAATTCGTTGGTCAAATCCGCTAACTGCTGATTGTCAAACAAGGACATTGCAAGGTAGTTCTCACTTCAATTTGTTGTGTGATTTGAATACTCTCTTTGTCACAAAATCTCTCAAGTAGTTAATATGGTTGGCTTTATTAATTATATATATTTTTTAATTTTTTCATGGTATTAATAAAATACTTGGTAAATAAATATATAGCATTATTTTGTATTATAACTTTGATATTTAATTAGAAAAATAGTGCACAAAAAAGATATTAGACAATGTAGTGAATATAATCAATTGATGAATTTGAATGTAAAAATTTTTACATTTGAGAAAAATAAAGACAATATAACTAATGAAAATATTTCTCTTAATTAATTTATTATATTGATAATGAATAATTTTTTTTTTTACTGCATTAAAGACATTGTAAGGACAATGTAGCGAATATAATCAATTAATAAATTTGAATATAAAGAATTTTTATATTGTAGAAAAATAAAGACAATATAACTAATACAATTATTTCTCTTATTTAATTTATTGATAATGAATAATTTTTTTTGAATAAAGGCATTGTGGACACATAATTCTAAATTAAAGAAATGCATATCTATAATTTTTTGTTGTAGCTACTAAATTATTATATAATTTAATAAGAGTAAAATAGAGTACTAATTATGCCAACTTTGATTGGGATGATGTTCGAACCTAAGACCTTTTTTTTTTTTATTGAAATTAATGAGTAAGTTAACGGTGAACTAACGGAAATTCTTAAAATTTTAACGGAATTAGTAACGGTGTGTGGGTATTTTAGGAAATTTTAGTGTAAAATTTAAATCTTATCAATCTTTTAATCAATCTGAGTCATTCATTTGATTAAAATCTGTGACCACCATTTTTTCTACCCATTATAAGCCTAACTCTCTTGGGCTCTTATTAGTATAGTAGATATAGTAGATAATTATATATATATAGTAGATATTATTATATATATATTATTATATTATAGTTTTTTTACGCGCTTTGCGCGAATGAGATAATGCCCAATGATTATTTTTAAATAAGTATTTCAAAGTGTATCAACGCAATATTATATCGGAGATGTTCATGCATATGTAAATAAATATTGAATTTGTTTATTTAAATCGGTAATTCAAAATATATAAATGCAAGATAATATTTATTGAATTTTCTAATCGATATTTGGTAGTGGTAGTTTTCCCCTACATGTTTCATGCATTGTGAGATGTGTGTCGTAGATTATCATGTGAAAGTATTGAACAAAATATTAATATTTATTATATTTGTATAAAATACTTGGTAAATAAATATATATAATGTATTTTGTATTATAACTTTGATATTTAATTACAAGATAATGTAAAAAAAAAAAAAAAAAAAAAAAAAAAAAAAAAAGACAACGGACAATGCAGTGAATATAATAAATTGATAAATTTGAAGGTAATGAATCTTTGAATTGTAGAAAATAAAGATAATATAATTAATGAAATTATATCTATTTTTAAATTTTTTATAATGAATAATTTTTTTTTGAAATAAAGGCATTATAGACATCTAATTCTAAATTAATTAAATGTATATGTATTATTTTTTGTTGTAGCTACTACTTTATTTAGTTTAATAAGAGTAATAAAGTGGCGTATATACTTTTCATCAACAATAATGCAATCATTGATTTTTTTTTTAAATGCATACAAAAAATATTAATGCAAAAGTATAATTGAAATATTAAGTTTTTTTTTTTTTTCTGATCTAAATAATCAAAAGAATATTAAGTTTTTTTTCTGATCAAATGATTTTTAAAGTTCTTGATTTATAATCTTTGATGCTTAACTTTGAATGTTATGTATTTAGTCAGACTAATTATTTGAACAAAGTTTATGTTAAATTTTATATTATATATATTTTAAATATATTTTAACATATAATATGTTTAACAATTATGCCAACTCTAATTGGGATGTGGTTCGAAACTAAGACTTTTCTTATAGAAATTAATGTATAAGTTAAAATAATAAATACTTAACGGAATACTCCATTACTAAAGTTTATGCTAATGGAATTTAGGTTATTTAAGGGAAGAAAATAATATAATAGAGGGCAAATAAGGAAAATAAATAAAAAATACTAAAGTAAAAATAACATAAACCATTCATTTTAAGAAACAATAGTATAATATGAACCATTCATTTTAAGAAACAATAGGACCGATATTTTTTTGTTCCAGTTAAGGCCTAACATTATTGGCTCTTATTAGAATTGTAGATTATATATATATATATATATATAGATGCACTCAGGTGCGAATAAGTGCCCAGGAAGGAATATGCGAACGAATCAGCGCGCGACACGTGTCCAGATCAAATAACTTAAAAAAACGCGGTGGCATTTTCGTAAATAATTGAACATCGAAGTGCAAGTAAAATCACTTACAAGTGCACCTACTTTCACCTATAAGTGCAAGTAATTTTGCCTTGTTAGTATTCACTTCCCGCAAACATTCATGCACCTGGGTGTGCTTATAACAATAGGTGCAACTATTTATAACTATAGGTGCAACTACTTATAACTATAGGTGCACCTACTTTCACCTATAAGTGCATGTAATTTTGCCTTGTTAACATTCATTGATCTGAGTTCAGCGGGTAGTAATACCCTAGAAAACCACCCGCAAACATTCATGCACCTAGGTGCAACTACTTATAACTATGTGTGCAACTACTTAGAACTATAGTTGCAACTACTTAGAACTATAGTTGCAACTACTTATAACTATAGGTGCACTTAGTATTGATGCTCAAAGTAAATTTTTACTTGCACCTATAATATATTTTACATGCAGTTGTAATACATTTTACTTGCACGTCGATGTTCAATTATTTACGAAAATGTCACCGCATTTTTTTTTTAAAAATCAGTGTTTCTCATCCATTAGATCTGGACAATTCATTCATATTTCGCGTCTGGGCGAAGCATTGGCACCTGAGGTGCGATTATATATATATATATATATATATATATATATATATATATATATATAGAGGAAGGTTCAAGTGCGGCAGTGCACTTAGGTGCGGCGGTGCGGTTAATTGTAGGTCATAAGATTAGATAAATCCAACGAATCACATTCATCTAGGCTTTTTCGATATTTTCGCGCATGTTCTCATACAACGCGAACTGCAAGGTTAAAGTCGTCATTGGGCACCTGAATATATCAAATCATAGTGTTGTGTGTTTTATGTTTGTTATTGGTGCATTATTAACCTTACTGTGGTGTATTTGAGGATTCGTGTTGGTGCCAAGTTCAGGTGCGCCCGCGCCTTCCCATGCGGTCAGTGCGGGTGCACTAATAGTTATACAAATATACACCATCCATGTTAGAAAATTCACACCAAAAAAACATGCACAAATTAGATACGCATCACCAGAACGCACCATTAGGTATGAATAAAAGCATCACACAGTGTTTAGAAATACACCATTGGGGTGGTGAGTTATATGGTGTATTTTTTGGGTGTGTTGTGTGTTTTTTGGTGTATTTGTGCATTTCATTGTGGTGCTTTTTCCTAACACTATTGGTGTCTTTTGTTAACACTGTTGGTGTATTCTGATAAGTGACCGATATAAATGACCACTACAATTACCATAACACCCCCCACTTAAATCTTTAAATCTTCAGAAATTAACCGCTGCCGTTAGATTAAGCAAAATGGACGATTCTGATATAGCCGCACCGCCGCACCTAAAGCCACTGCCGCATTTGAGCGCTAATATATATATATATATATATATATATATATATATATATATATATATATATATATATATATATATATATATATATATATATATATATCTTAATTATAATAAAACTATATGGTTTGGGAAGTAATTAATGTTACAATTAATGCCACAACATTCTTTATTATAAAAAAAAAAAAGCACAACATTTGAAAAATAAAATAGCTATATATGATATAATCATATAAAAAATGTGTTTTTGAAAAATAAAATAGCTATATATTATATAATCATATAAAAAATGTGTTCAATTAGAGTTTAAATTTACTCATAAAAAATTTGAAATTTGCTTTCCAAATGTAATTATCTTAGTTATTATTCGTATTGTGAAAATTATAATATCGATGAAATATAATTAAGAATAAATCAATGTAATTATGTAAATTCTCTTTATAAGTTTATTTGAATATGCACATAATTAGAGATTATATTAACCATACAAAATTTTAATTTTAATTTTGTATTTTATAAAAATATAATAAATACTTGACCAATGTAAGCTCAAAAATGTTATTATATTAAATAATTTAAAATATTTTAATTTTTTTATTTTTTATTTATATTTATAATAACATAATTTTTTTTGCGTGCATCACGGTGAATTACTATATATATATATATATTTTGTAGATGTAGATTATATTATTATATGCTCAACAAGATAGATTGGGTTTTTGCCCTAAATGAAAATTAAGTTGGAATGACCAAAATGGACTGGAAGTAACCAACAGAGGCTGTATAAATTTTGACCGGTGGGGAAGAACACAGTTTCGGGAGATCAGGGGAAGTCGATGAAGAGCGAAAAGTAGCCGAAGCGGAAAGAAAGAAAGACACCCCTCTTCTCCTCTCTCTGGAAATGGAACCCGAACCCGAACCCGGATCCGGCTCCAGGGGAGTCCTCATCCCCATCACCTCCCACACCGTCGCCGCCACCTCTTCGTCTCCACCGCTTGACGACGAAGATGACGATCACCATCCTGATTTCTCTCCCGTCGGATCCCCTGACTTCCACGAGGATCTTCCTCAGCACTCCGATCAACCCCACCCCTCCTCCATCGCTCCTCTCACCGATGATCTTCGCCTCAAGATTATCAAGCAGGCAAATATCCCCCTCTCTCTTATCGATGTTGTGGAATTTTGCAATTCGTCCATTGTGATCATTTCAAGTACTGTATGGAACGAGTAGGGTTTAAGTTTCAAGTGGGTGATTGTGTTTAGTTGACCCTGTTTGAACTTCTCCTTCAATAATTTTGTTCTGCTATTAGAGCATACTGTAAATTAATTTTTAACTTTGACTGGATTTATAAGAACACTTAGGACTTAGATTGGCTTTGTTTTTGTTTAGCTTAGAATAATAGGATCTAAGTGACACTCAGATATTGGATTAGATTGCCTGTGGATTAGCATAGAAGTACTATTATATCAACCTCCCAATAATGCTTAACTCACCAGTCATTTCAATTTCATTTATGGAACAAGTTAGTAAAAGTAAAATTACAGGACTGTTTAGACTCACTATAAATTTTTCAAAAGGAAAAAAACCAAGAAGAGTAGAAAATGTTCAGATGTATGTGATACAAAACAATAGGTCAATATGATCTTGAAAAGTCACAAGTTTAGTGCACCACTGCACCAATGTACTAGTTAGAAGGACTGATGTGATAGTTACAAGTGTAGATGAAATGCTATAAGAAATCAGGTTGCCAGGAAAGTTGAGTTAACTTGTGAACAATGCTCGGGATAGAGTTTAATGGAGAAAAACGATCTAACCAAGGTTAGACATGATGCAAATGAGCTGTTCCTGACTTTCGTTGATAAAGCATTGTAGTTTAGTTTTATTAAGGATATGACTTCCCTTTTAACTTTATAATTTTACTGTAGGTATCCTTTGGTGACTACAAACACCACTAAGTGTAGTGTTTAGTATTATTTTGGTTTTGGCATCAATGGATTAACCGATTAAGTACTCATCATTTTTTAATGGATGACACTCTTGAATTTTGTCCTATAAAAAACCCTTTATGAATTTGTTTGGTCTTGCAGGTGGAATATTACTTCAGTGATGAAAATTTGCCAACGGATAAGTTTCTTCTGAAATATGTGACCAAGAATGAGGAAGGATATGGTAAGTTCTGATTGTTTTTTCAGAAGGCTCTTTCACTTTTTATACCTATCTCTTGGGTTCTTATAGAGTGTATGGGCATAGAGTTCAATAATTTTCTTCATAGATTAGTGATCTCCACTTTTTCCATAGTCTGAGATCTAAAGGGGAATGCTCTATCTTGCAGTTCCTCTTAAAGTCATTGCTTCATTTAGAAAACTGAAGAAGCTGACCAGGGAGATACCTCTGATTGTGACTGCACTCAAGGACTCCTCTCTTCTGGTAAGCATCTTTAATGAAAAGATTATTTACATCCATTCAAAACCTAACTTTCTGTTTTTGCTCCTCATTTTTTTCCCTGCAAAAATGATCTTTTATTCCTTTGTCCTTTAATTCACAGTAAAAGCATCTATAATGCAGGGAACAACTACTGTGCCTTTCCTCCTTCCTACCCCCCGCCCTCGCCTCCCACAGGGCCCACTTTTCAGCACTTCCTTTAACCCATCACTTGTTTGCACATGCCCTCTTGAGCCTTAACCTTGTCATGATTTGCAATTTCACTCTCAAAGTAAAAACAAAGTATAGCTATCAATAAAATAGTATAAAATAAAAGGAAAGCATAGGACAGAAATAAGGAAAAGGCTTTTTGATAAGCTGCTTGGTCATGTTGTGAGATATGCTCACTCTATTGGTTCAAATTATACAAGTTATAGTACTGCGGCTGTTCTATGCTGTAATGTTGCCTCCATTCGACAAGAGGGGGGCCGGGGGTGGGGGAATGGGGAAGGAGAAATGGGAAATTTGTAAAAATGTCATCCTTTCGGTGAATTTCTTTATACATTCTCCAGTCGCACATCTCACAATTTCTATGATGCTTTATAAGTTGTCTATCAATTGAAACAAATTAAGGTTAGGACTTGATGAAACTTGAGTTAAAAGAGCTCTTTTTTTTTCTCTGAAATTTGTGAATGTATAATTTCTCTTTCCTTTCTTGTTCTCCCACCTGTTGGCCGTTGGGTATCCTCAGGTTGTCAGTTCTGATGGGAAAAGGGTGAAGCGACTAAATCCTCTCCCATACATTGAGGCCAGGGATCCTCAGGTATTTTTCTTTTCCATTGGCCTCTGTGTTGTTAAACTCAGATATTGCTCATAAAGATGTTTTACTTTAAGCTTTTCTTCATTTTAGCTATGCACTGTATTGGTGGAAAACTTACCAGAGGATCATTCGGTGGAAAATCTTAGGCAACTATTTGGTTCTGCTGGACGGTGTGCATCTATCATTTTTCCTTTTTTTTTTTTTTCTTCTTTCTCCCCCACTTAGCTTGATTGTGTTTTATGATTGATTAAATGCTTCACAATTGTTTGAATTTCTAGCATCAAGCATATCAGCATCCGGGAACCACATGCTGAAAGAGATCCCAAAAAGTGTACAATTGCAGAGAAGCTGCTTAGTGGCAAGGTATGGAATAAAAGTTCATACTCAGAATTTTGTAATTTTCTTGGACCCAAGTACCTAACTGGAATAAACATGCTGATATTGATATAACTGGGTTGAAAAGTTTCATCTGAGAGATACTCGAGCTTAATTAGTTATTATCCCCTTTCTTTTCTTCTGCACATCTGTTTCATTATTTAGTATGCTCATCCAATCTTGTCCACTGGTACATGAAAACCTATTAAATGGAAGATGGAAACTGCTCTAATTGTAATTGATATAAGTGGTTGTTTAAGGTCTTTGTAATTACTGTACTCTCCTTTTTTTTTTTTTTTTTGGGAAAGTTATTGATAACATGGGTGCATTATGTCATGGAGTATGACTGGTTTCCTTTTCCTAGTTAGAATTATGTATTTGATTTGGAATGTAAGCTGGTTATACACATTACTATTTGCAGTAATTTTAAAATTGAATGTGCATAAAACTATGATATAAAACCTTATTCGCTTGTTTGTTATTGAGTGGTTCCTTCCTTTTTATCCTGCATATTTTAGGTAATTGAGAGACCTTTTGGTTTCTTCTATGCAGCTCCATGCTCTTGTGGAATTTGATACTGTGGAATCTGCTGAAAAAGCTGTGAGTTGCAGCACTGTCCCTATTTCTAGTTCATATCAGTGAGGATATTACATTAACTGAATTGTTTTGTTTTTATGGTAATTTGGTGCAGGTGGCCACTTTGAATAACGAACAAGATTGGAGATTTGGCTTGCGGGTGAAACTTCTCAAGAAAGCGGCGGTAATTATTCTTGTTTGGTTACCTTAACTCTGTCATTAGTTTGTCATGCCCCAGTTTGCTTCTTCAAAATTACCCGTCTAAGTGAATTTTTTCTTTTTATTTGCTTCACATCTTCAGAGCAAGCGGGGACAGAAAAAGAAAGTCTGGAGGGAGTCAGATCCTGATAGGCATACTTGTGGTCAAGCATCTGATCAAGCTATAGATGAGGAGAACCACCATCCAAGCGAGCACCATGGTGATTCACATGATGAAGAGGTTAGTAGTCTCACAACTTTCAAGACATTGAAAGTTTAGTTTGAGATGTAGTATTGGAAATGATTGTTAGGATATTTCAAGTGTTCATACTTGGCTAGAAATTTGGATCAGATATTGTGAGGGTTAGTTTTTCACTTTTTCGCCGATTAGCAGTTTGTTAGGATGGCTTTGCTAAATTAGAAGCATGAAGGTAGACTAACCTTGGATGATGGACTAAATTCGAAGTTGGTCTAATTTTGAGGGACTTTGGGAGTATTCAATTTGGATTACTATCATTTGCTGTGTTCATGGAATAAGTAGTCAAAACCGAAATATGTACTAACCTTGAATAAGTACTACTGCCAGGTTCACTGATGAGATTGATAAGTTTGTGTTGTTTTAGCTTCTTAGAAGTTTTATTTTCGTGTCTACTTACATTCTAGGAAGGGGACCATTTATCAAAGGAGACAATTGGCGAGCATGCACCAAGGGAAAAAAATGGACATACAGGGCGCAACAGAGGACGTGGAAGGAGGCCGCAAAAACGTGGTACAAATATGCCAGGTAATTGACCATTGTAGCAGTAGAACTTGCTGTTTATTCCAATATGTATTCCATAAACCTAGTGTTTAATTGCTGCCTGCTGTTATCATTTCTTTATTTAAAAAACTCGTTGCAGTCCATGGAATGCATCCTTCCTCCGGTCACGGTCATGGTACTGAACCCTCAAAACCTCCTCCGGGTCCAAGAATGCCAGATGGAACTAGAGGATTTACAATGGGGCGAGGACGACCTCTGGCTTCAAGTCCAGTCTAATGTTGCTTCTATAGTGTTTGGTTGTTTGATGATCCTGGTGTGTAAATGCAGGCACAGCCTGGTCATGTATAACAATTAGTGATGGATTTCTGGCGCCTGCTTTTGGTGGTTCTATTTTTTATTTTTGCTTTGTAATGGTCTCTACTACCTATAACTTGATGCTTATGGAGAATGGGGTGTTTTAATTGAATCCTTGCAACTTTGCTAGATCCTCCCTCGCCAAATTTTACTGTGTATCATGGTCCAAAATAGTTTCGTTTCTAAAGAAACGACACACATTCGGTGTTCAATTAATTTTTTTTTTTTTTTTTTATGGCGTATTCAGTTTCATTTTATATACATTGTAGTTTCATTATAACACACTTAAAGTATCATTTTGATTTAATTACAATTCTATTTGACGTTACAATATTATTATTATTAAAGTATAATTCTAATCTAATTAATTATAGCTTCGTTTCTAAAGAAACGACACACATTCGGTGTTCAATTAATTTTTTTTATTTATTTTATGGCGTATTCAGTTTCATTTTATATACATTGTAGTTTCATTATAACACACTTAAAGTATCATTTTGATTTAATTACAATTCTATTTGACGTTACAATATTATTATTACTAAAGTATAATTCTAGTCTAATTAATTATAGTTTCGTTTCTAAAGAAACGACACACATTCGGTGTTCAATTAATTTTTTTTATTTATTTTATGGCGTATTCAGTTTCATTTTATATACATTGTAATTTCATTATAACACACTTAAAGTATCATTTTGATTTAATTACAATTCTATTTGACGTTACAATATTATTATTACTAACGTATAATTCTAATCTAATTAATTATAGTTCCGTTGAATAAAATATGAAATTTGTTATTCAGTTTAATTTTATATATATATATATATATATATATATATATATATATATATATATATATATATATATATATATATATATATATATATATATAAACATAATAATTGTGAATGAATGTTATACCCTTCATTTATGTCCAATTTTTCCATTAAGTTTTTTGATACATTATGCTATAAAAGTTGTATCATACAATATTTTGGACAAATATACCCCTACCGTTATAACTTCCGTTATCTTTTCCACTATTGTTACTATGCACATGCATCTACCATATATTTTCTTATCTTCTTCAATAATAATAATAATAATAATAATAATAATAATAATAATAATAATAATAATAATAATAATAATAATAATAATAATAATAATATACAAATTATATATTGGAGTTATATGTTAGTTATTTCCTAAAATTAAATATAAAAATTAAATTTATAACATTATTATTATTATTATTATTATTATTATTATTATTATTATTATTATTATTATTATTATTATTATTATTATTTAAACATCTAAAATTTAAATAAATTTAAAATTCTAATATAAATTTTAATATTGGGCACCTATGTTTTGCGCATCGCGCATAAAAAATACTAGTGAGAATTTTATTATTGTATACATATTGTAGTTTATAATAATAATAATAATAATAATAATAATAATAATAATAATAATAATTCATTGTTGAATTACAATTTCACAAGGGAATTGAAACTCCTAGAGAGCAAGACCGGTCCTATCATTTTATAGGTCCGGGTCAAAGTAAAAACAAGGACCCTTAATATATAAAGTTAAAATGTATATATATATATATATATATATATATATATATATATATATATATATATATATATATATATATATATATATAGATAGATAGATAGATTGAGGATCAAATGAGGACGCATTCTGAGGTGAGGACGTGAGGACTAATCTTATGCGTTTGTTTTTTTATTTTGATGGCCCAGATTTGATTTCCTAAGATGACATGGATTGATTTTTTTTTTTTTTGTTAAAGTTGGGTAGTAGTGTCTTTTTCTATTTTTTTAAGTGTGAACGCATGTGTAATCCTTATCTTAATTGGTTTCCTATTTTTTTGGATCACCACCGTCGCGATTTCTTCACCATTGATTGAATGTTAGCCCATGCAATGTGATCGGTATTTTTTATTTTTTTCCGCTCGTTCTTTTGAATATAATATTGTCTATATTTGGATGATCGTGTATATGTACAAATGCTTGGATAGTACGATTGTGCATGTGTGTGCTGGTTGTGCAACCTAGTGTTGTAAGTTGTGCACCGTAGGCTGGTGAGTTGTGCATTAGTGCACATATTTCAGTGCATCGTAGGACATTGAGATGTCCATTGTAGGATTTTTAGGTGGTGTTTGAATGCACAACTTTACAATACTTTGTATAGTAATGCACAATATTTTGTATAGTAATGCACAGATTCTAATTTACCCATAAATTTATATTTTTAAATATTTTAAAGGGATTTGTTTCCTTAATCCGTGTGATTTGTTACTTTTAATCTCAGCCATGCTTTTATTTTGATTTAGTGGTCTAGATTAGTCCTCGCGTCCTCACCTAAAATTATGTACTCACTTGATCCTCACCATATATATATATATATATATATATACATATATATATATATATATATATATATATATATATATATATATATATGATCATATGAGAGCACTTGCTTAGGTGAGAACGTGAAAACAAATCGTGTGCATCCATCTAATATTTTTAATGGTCTAGATTAGATTAAGTGTCTGCGAACGCGAATTAAATGTGTGCAAACACAATTCTTTATTTAAAAAAAATCAGTTAGACTAATCCGAGAGTAGTGTTCATTCAAACTTTGGGCCCCTATATGAAGTTTAATTATAAATTAATTTAAAATTCTCTAATATATACGGAGTATTTGTTAATTGAATTATTATATTAAATGATTGTAATGGTTAAGTGAATTTAATGTTAAATAATAATTCTAAAGTTGTGGGTTCAAATCTCTGCTCATGCAAGAATTATTATTATTATTTTTTTAACTTCATCAAAAAATAAAAATCCAAGTTAGGGGGGCCCCTTTCAACATTGGGCCCTAGACGGGTGCCCATGTTGCAGAGCGTTATGTTGTGCATCCGTGTGCATCATGTATGGTGCACACGGATGTAAAAACGACGTCGTTTTGACGTCGACTTAAAAAAATAAAAATCCATAACTTCATAACTATACATCCAGAATTGCATAACTACACATCCATAACTTCATAACTATACATCCAGAATTGCATAACTATACATCCATAACTTCATAATTATAAACCCAGAATCGCATGCATAACTACACATTTATAACTTCATAACTATACATCCAGAATTGCATAACTACACATCTATAACTTCATAACTATAAATCCAGAATTGCATAACTACACATCCATAACTTCATAACTACACATCCATAACTTCATAACTATACATCCATAACTTCAGAACTATAAATCAAGAATTGCATAACTACACCATGCATAATTACACATCCATACTTTATAACTATAAATCCAGAATTGCATAACTACACATCCATAATTTCATAACTAAAAATCCAGAATGAATGAACAACATAATGCACATAATGCTGTTGCTGGGAATCGAAACTGATTATTTTTTTTGGAATAAGGGTCAAATAGGCCATCGAACTGCACACAATAATGCAATTAGGCCACTGAACTTAAAAAAGCTACAATTAGATCACTAAACTAACCATTTTCATGCAATTTGTCTAATTTGTAAGTTTTCTAGGTTGTTAGCATGTCACCTTTAATTTAAAATATTTATTATTTAAAATAATTATTAAACAAAAAAAAAAAAAAAACAGACCGTCCCCGGCCGGCCGGAGACGAAGAGCTCTTCGTCTCCGGCCGGCCAAAGACGAAGACGTCTCCGGCCATGGAGACGAATCCATGGCCGGAGACGATCTGTATCTTTTATTTATTTATTTATTTAAAATAATTATTTAAATAATAAATATTTTAAAAAATATTTTAAATTAAAAGTGACATGCTAGCAACTTAGAAAACTTACAAAATAGACAAATTGTAAGAAAATGGTTAGTTTAGGGATCTAATTGTAGCTTTTTTAGGTTCGGTGGCCTAATTACATTATTGAGTTCGATGGCCTATTTGACCCTTATTCCTTTTTTTGTTTTGTTTTTTTTTTTTTGTTTTTTGTTTTTTGTTTTTTGTTTTTTGTTTTGTTTTGTTTTTTTTTTTTTTTTAAGTGGGACACGTATTTTTAGTCAAAACGACGTCGTTTTTGTATCCGTGTGACACGAATGCACAGCATAATTTGCCCCATGTTGCCCGCCCCTCTAGGCCGCCCCTACTAGGGAGACTATAAGAATTGTAATTCAATGGTCGGAGAAAATTACAATTCTTTTTTATCAAACCGTGGAATATAAATTGCATAGAATTTACGAATGAAATTACAAAATTCCATTCTATCAAACACTCTCCTTAGAGGACAAGGTGCTTGAAAATTTGCTTGTTATATATTTTTGTATGTGATATTGTGATGCTATTGATTAGCTAATTTATGTTTACGTGTTTATCCTAGCTAAACAATGATAATATGTTAACTGCAGATACATAAGATGTTGGTTAATATGGTATGTGTCTACAATTAATATATTTTGTACTCTCAGTTAACAACTTATGTGTTTGTAATTATTATGCTATGTGCTTGTAATTGCCATGTGATGTGTTTTCAATTTGTTTACAGGTGCATGAATGATTAACTGTAGGCACAAAATGTGTCAATTGCATATATACAATTTGAAGGTTATTTTTGGACTAAGGTCCATAATACAAAATAGACCCTAATCCATGGCATAATTTGCTGTCCAAAGTTATCGAACTAAAAAAATCAATGCAATTGGTTCCTGAACAACACAAAATCATGCAATTAGGTTTAAAATAACCTGTTGACCTGAAATTGTGCTGACGTGGCGGTTACCAATTTTAAAAATAAATTTAAATATAATTTTAAATAAAATAATTAATTAAAATTAAAAAAAAAAAAAAACTAGAACTGCCGGAGACGATTCGTCTCCGGTAGTTCTAGGTTTTTTTAAAAAAAATTTTAATTAATTATTTTATTTAAAAATATATATAAACATTATTTTTAAAATTGGTAACCCGGCATTCAAGGTAAACAGGTCATTTTGAACCTAATTGCATGATTTTGTGTTGTTTAGGGACCTAATTGTATTGTTTTTGAGTTCGATAGCCTAATTGCACTTTGGTGTGCAGTTCAGTGGCTTTTTTTTATTTTGAAAGCAAACAATGCTAGAATATATTAATGCAAAAGAGCGGTAACAAAGTCAGGAGGGACAGATTCCCAGTACAAAGAAGTTGCCTGCGAGGAGGAAGCCGAAGCTAAAGCATGATCTATCGAATTAAACTGTCTAGAAATTAAAAGCAAACGACAAGAAGTAAACGCAGACATAAGAAGTAAACAGTCATCAATGACAATGCAAACATGTGATCTTGGGTTGGCTACTGATGTAGTAATATAGCGATGAAGGGCTGAGCAATCTGTATGAAAATCAACTGCCAAAACTCGACGACTTTTAATCCAAGAAACGGCCTCCTTACAAGCTAGAGATTCCGCCGCAAGAGCACTAGTGCAAAACGGGAGTGTGCCATTTGTCGCGACCAGAAATTCCCCTTCCGGCGAGAGCAGCACATGTCCGAATGTTGCTGTTGAGGTCGCCGATGCGAAGCCAGCATCGAAGTAGCATCGCATACCCCCGAAAACTGGCTGCTGCTGAGGTGGGTGTGTCGCATGTTGCTGCTGCTGGACGGGCGAGGTTGCTGCTGATGAAGAGGCAGCAACTTCCCAGGCAGTGAGCGACGAGACAGCAGCCTTCCAAATATGCATGGGGTGTCACATGCAAAAGTTCCAAATGGCGTCGTTCCTTGCTTCCCATATATGACATAGTGCTGCAATTAATTTGACAAGGACAGTAGGAGTTAACACACATATTGCATTTTGGAACCACTCAGGAAAAGAACTTCCATTCACACAATCAACAGGAAGTTGGGACGCATGCCAAACATGTTGTGCAAATTCACACTCCACAAGGGCATGCATTGTATCCTCATGAAAAGAAACACACATTGGGCATGACAAACTCACTTTTATCCTCCTTAAAAGGAGGCTAGTAGTAGTAGGGAGAACACCACTAATAGCTCTCCAAATAAAGGTCTTCCATTTAGGGGGGGACTTTTATCTTCCACAATGTATTCCATTTAATAAAGCCATTCCCACTTGGGGGTGTTTCACCTACGATGGCTCTATAACCACTTTTCACTGTATAACACCCACTCTGCTCTTTATGCAAATACCAAGAATCCTCATAAGATGGGCAGACAGGCACCCGGAGGATACGGTTCACATCACTAGACAAGAATAAATCCCGAAGAATAGCTAAATCCCAGGTATGAGTTTCTGGATCAATTAACCCCGAAACCTTAGCTCCCTCCAAATATTGAGGCATATCAGTATGGATCACAGAGTCAGGACCATCTAATAACCATGGGTGCCCCCAAATTAAAATTAATACTCCATCCCCTATCCTCCTTCGTATACCCGTACAAACCAAATCATAGGCGGCCATAATACTCCTCCAACTGTAGCTTGGGTTATTTCCCACAGTAGCATCAACAAACGAAGATCTAGGGAAATATCTTGCCTTGTAGACCCGGGCAGCTAGAGATTGAGGCTTAGTAAGAAAACGCCAGACTTGCTTGCCTAACATTGCCAGATTAAAAGCACGTAACTCCTTGAATCCCAAACCCCCTACCGCTTTAGGCTTACATAGTCGGTCCCAGGCCATCCAATGAATACTAGGCCTGTGCAAGGTTCGGGTTCGGACGGTTCGGGTGTCGGACTAGTCCACCCGATCGGATTTCGGTTTTCTAAATCAATATCCTATCCGAATTTTTTTTTGTACTATACTCCATTCGGGTTAAGTTGGTTCGGATATCGGACGGTTCTGATGTAACTTCGGGTTTGTTCGGATTTCATATTCAACAATTTTTTTTAAAAAAAAAAAAACTAAGTAAAATTTCATATCATGGATTTCAAACTGTCAAACAGTCAAAGTACTTACTTAGTTAGTTACAACTACTTAGTACTTACAAATGACAAAAATACAAAATGATAAACAAAGTCATTGAATCGTCAATCATGATAAACTGATAACAAAAAGTAATCATAATGTATTATCTATTTAGCAATTGAGCATTCAGCAAACTGCACCAATCAACATCTTCCTGTGAACAAAAATACAATAATCATAATGTATTGTCTATTCAGCCTTCAGCAGTTCAGCTTTCTTGATCTTCCTGTACAAGTTAAATATAACATATTAAATACTTTGGGGATTGGGGCTGTTGGGCAGAAAAATTTCTCTATGGAAGGCTCAGATTGCTATGTTTTCATGTCAAAGTAAGATTGGGGGCAAATTGCTACTTTTAGTATTGGAATGCAATTATGCAAACCAAAACTAATGAGCAACATACCATCCCAAAACCATTTCAGACAATGGTGGAAGCATCATCATAGCCAAATCAGTAAAGACTAAAGAGAAATAACATACTGATTACTGAGCACTTGAGAATAAGGGACTAAGGTAGAGTGACTGTTATTACCAGATGAGAATCATGAGATGACATTCATATAGGCAGTAAGGCTATACTGCTGGGGTCATACACTCATACTTATCATAGGCAGCAACAAATCCAACAATTGAATTGTTAGTTAGTTACCAAGCCATTAATCCATAGGAAGCAACAAATCCAACAATTGGAATTAAAATCAAAAGTAAGTGTAAATAAAACATTACAGGAATGGTAGGAAGGGGAAAACCAGCAGCACCAGATCCTGTGGTACCAAATCGACTTACTCCAGTAGCCAAGTCTGCAAAGTGCAAAGTGCAAAGTTAGAATTTTAATTTGAAATGCAAAGTTAAAGATTTAAAAACAGAATGTAACATTTAAAGAAATTACCTTGTTCAAGCTTTTCAACATCATCAATATTTTCCTCAACCTTAACTGGTTGATTTGGTAACCTCATCCAGTCTTGTGCACATACTAAGGCCTCCACAATTTTTGGAGTTAAAGAACTCCTAAATGCATCTAAAACCCTCCCACTAGTACTAAATGTACTTTCTGAGGCTAGAGTGGAAATAGGAACTGCTAGGATATCCCTTGCCATTTTGGAGAGAGTAGGAAACCTCTCACTATTTAGCTTCCACCACCTAAGGATATCAAAGTCAGGAGTGTCCTCCACAATTTTTTTCACTTAAATAAACCTGAAGTTCTGTTTCTTTATAGCTTCCACTAGCCTCCAATTTTTGCCTTTTTAGTTTGTTCTTTAACATATTTTGAGGTCTACCAATTGTGGCATGAGACTGGATAGGAAGCACATCTGGTTGGCTACCAGAAGATGAATCAGAAGATGATTGTTGCACATTGACAGAGTAGGTTGCTGCATAGTCACCAAACAATTCTACCATGGCAGCTTGGACATTCTCTAAACACTTCTTCCCATTCTCTTTACCATACAGTTCATCAAACTGGTATGTCATATATTCCAACTTATCTCTTGGGTCCAAGATATTTGCAAAGAAGATCAAGGAATTCATTTTTTCAGGATCTCCCCAATACTTTTCAAATTTACTTTTCATTTGGGATCCCATAACCTAAAAAACATTGAATTAAATACAAATAGCCATACACAAAATCATAAATAATCAGATTAACCACTGAAAATGATAAAAATATAAAATCATTACCTCTGTAGCACTACCAGCAACAATCATGCTACTCAACATGCAACTCAAATCAGATATCTCACTGAAGAAACTGTTAGAGGTGACATATAGAGAACCAGAGATTCTAATTGTCATCTCATAAAACCCTTTCAACAGAACTACCAAGCATTCAACAGAAGTCCAGTCAAGAAAAGAAAGGACAGAATCACCCAGATCAGCAACAAATGAGGGCTCATTCAATGAATATGCATCAAACACAGCCTTGTATTGTATGGCAGTGCTAAGCATCATGTAGGTGCTGTTCCATCTTGTTGGAACATCTAGTTGTAAAGAACTTTTGGCTTCCACCCCAAGCAGTTCTGCAAGATCTCTGATTTTTTTGAGTCTTGCAGGTGAGTTCCTCATCCATTTAACAGAATCCCTCACCTTCTTAACAGAACTATCTGCAAACCTTAACCCATCCTGGACCACCAAGTTTAAAATGTGGGCTATGCACCTCATGTGAATGTACTTACTCCTAACAGTGGTTGCACCCCATGACAACAATTTGGACTTAAAAAAACTAATAGCAGTATCATTGGAAGAAGCATTATCAACAGTGACAGAAAAAACATCCCTAATCCCCCAGTCAATCAAACAACTCTCTAATGCCTTGGCTATATGCTCACCCTTGTGAGAAGAAATAGGGACAAAGGATATGATTTTCTTATTCAGCTTCCACTGATCATCTATGAAATGGGCTGTAATGCACATATAATTGATCATCTGCACAGAGGTCCAGGTATCAGTTGTCAAACTGACCCTTTGAGTGTTAAGTCTAAACAGCTTCTTGAGGTTTAATCTTTCATCAAGGTAAATTTGGTAAATGTCCCTTGAAATTGTCCACCTAGAAGGTATACAAAATCTAGGGCAAGCAACCAAAATAAACCTTTTAAAACCTTGCCCCTCCACAAACCTAAATGGAAGCTCATCAATAATTATCATCTCACATAATGCCCTCCTAATGGCTTCCTGATTGAAAACCCAAGTCCCTAACTCCCCAACAACCCCTTCAGAACCCCCACCCCCTTGAGTATCAAATGTTGTCATAGCAGTGAAAGTAAGCAGTGACTGCCTAGTCTCCTTAGAATGTGGATTTTTTAGACAAGCCAACATATGATTTCTTAAAGAGGTAGTACCATGCTTTTTACTCTCACAGTGATAGACTTTAGCACAGTATATACATTTCCCCTTTACTACTTTGTTTTCAGAATCATATATCTTTTCAAAATGTTCCCAGACCTTAGATCTAGACTCCACATTCTTCCTCTTTTGTGCAGGAACAGCAGGATTAACCTCAGGCTGCTGAGGAGCATTTGTCTCAGTGCCTTGGGTTACTCCTCCAGGCCCCTCCTCAGTTGAGGGTGGAAGTCCAGATTGAGTCATTTGAGTGGCACTTTCCATCTACAAAGATGGGTACCAGTTTTCACTTTTCAGTTTGTGTGAGTGTGACATAACACATTAACACTAAAACTACCACATAAATTACATAATAAACAATTAAACATACAAAGATATCCAGAATCAGACACATGGACATAGTAGTTTGTGTCATCATTTTTCCAGATTTAACAATTAGCAATTAAGGGTTATACATCCATAAACTGATAGACATAATAACATATACAATTATACAAACAAATCCAGATTCAGGAACTCAGTCCAGATCATCATTATCTGGATTTGAGTTAAGGGCTTCCACCAATAAATGAAAATTCCCACACTGGAGATTTCACATTTTAGCCTTTAACTCGGATTGGTAGATTACAAATTTGCATGGAATAAAATCCAGATTTCACAAAATCAACACTTAGAAATTAGTTTGTAAAAGGCTTCCACCAACAAATAGCATAATATATGAATATATCACCAAATATTCATCACAGACTCATTGTAGAAAAGTCAGAACACAATACATCTCAGTATCTCACATAAATGAAGATATATAAAACTAGGGTTTTCGATTTCACACTGCTTTCTCAAAATATTCACCACATATCATCATAATAATATAATATAACACAAAGTCACAAACATTTTCTTAATATAAACTAGGGTTTACGATTTACTTGATTTCTCCCAAATAATCCCCGAAGAACAAGGGCTTCTAATAACCAGTTCACCACGGCTTCCACCACTTAGACTCTCAGAGACAGAGAGTAAGAGATTAGAGATAAGAGATTGCAACGCTTCGATTCTGAGAACCCTGAGATTAGACAATAGAGATTAAGAGATTAGAGATTTAGAGATTACAGATTAGAGAGTAAGACTGTAAGCGATTAGAGATTAGAGAAATAGAGACTAAGATATTAGAGATTAAGAGATTAGAGATTTACCTTACGGATTTACAGAATCAGAGATGACTGATGAGTTTTGAGAGAACTGAGACTCTGAGAGACTGAGACTCTGAGACTCTGAGAGAGTGAGACTCTGAGAGTCTGAGAGAGTGAGAGTCTGGGAGAGTTGAGAGTCTGAGAGAGTTGAGAGTCGAGAGAATGAGAGATGCGATCTCAGATCTCAAACCCTAGGTCAGCTGCGCAGATGAGATAATGAAGACCAAGTGTTGGAAGGCATGTATATATACATTGATGGAACGACGCCGTTTAATACAAAGCCTTAGGGAACCCTAGAATAGTTCGGGTATTCGGACGGGTCGGTTGGCAAAATTGTATACCCCACCCGAACCTTCTAAACCGACTCCGTATTGCATGGCGGATCGGGTAATGAGAGTCGGGTTCGGGTTATTCCGGGTTGGTCTCTCTCGGTCGTCGGGTCGGTCGGTTTGAACGGGTGGGTCGGGTTGTGCACAGGCCTAATGAATATCACCACCATTCACATCTCCTTTTCCCTACCAATAACGATTTATGGTTCTTTCAATAGCACCACATAAAGATTTTGAGAGCAAAAAAACACTCATTGAAAAAGTGGGCATTGCTTGAGCCACACTTTTCAGGAGTATTTCCTTACCAGCCTGAGATAATAACTTCTTGTTCTATGAGCCAATTCTCTGCTTAATTTTTTCCTCAATATAATTAAAAACCAGCTTCTTATTCCTTCTCACAAATGAAGGTAGGCCCAAATACTTACCAAAATTAGGTCCCTGGGTAACCCCTAAAATTGCCACCACCGCCCTTGAGTCCTTTGCCCCAGTATCCTTGCTGAAACAAATATTAGATTTCTGATAATGGACTGACTGACCAGACAACCGTTCATAATCCTGTAAACACTTCTTTACAACACCTGCTTCCTGGGAATTTGCTTTGAAAAACAACATGCTATCATCAGCAAAGAAAAGATGAGAGATAGCCGGGGCCCCTCTAGCCACCCTACAACCATGAATCAAACCATGCTCCTGTGTTTGTTGCAACAATAGAGACATACCTTCCGCACAAATAATAAAAAGATACAGAGATAGCGGATCACCCTGTCTCAGCCTCTAGTGGGCATTACCTTACCACCCCTGGATCCATTAACAAGGGTGTTATACGACACAGTCGTAACGCAAAGCATAATCAGGTCAACCCACCTTACATTAAAGCCCAGCGCCATAAGCATGTTACGAAGAAAGGATCATTCCATCTTATCATAGGCCTTGGCCATATCCAGTTTCAGCGCCCCCCAACCCACCTTGCCACACTGCTTTTTCTGTTCAAAAAGTGGCCCACCTCAGCAGTTATAAGAATATTGTCAGTAATAAGTCTGTCCGGGATGAAGACACTCTGAGACTCTGAGATTAAATCTTCCAAAAGGGGCTTCATTCTATTAGCAATCATTTTGGTCATGATCTTATAAACCACATTACACAAAGCAATAGGCCTAAGATCGGACACCAACTCCGGCTGATTCTTTTTGGGGATCAGTACAACATTAGTTTCATTGAGGCCCTTAGGAAAGGACCCAGAGTGCAGACAATTAAGCACAAAAACAGATACATCCCCCCTACCACATCCTAGAAATGCTAAAAGAAACCAGGGTTCATCCCATCGGGACCCGGGGCCTTGTCAGGGAACATAGAAAACAGAGTTGCATTAACCTCCTCAGGCACAAAAGGCCAGAGAAGGTCCTCGTTCTGACTTACAGTTACACGTGGTGAAATAGAGGCAAAAAACGGATCCGCAGCCGCTGGCTGACTGCTTGATTTAAAAATAGTTTGGAAATACTCCAAGATAACGACATTCATAGAATCACCCTCCACCCAGTCTCCCCCAACATTCTTAAGTTTAGATAAAGAATTCTTACGTTTACGGTTGGAGGCATACCTATGAAAGAACTTTGTGTTGGCGTCAGCTCCACAAAGCCAATGTTGCTTGGCCCTCTATCTCTAATAAATATCCTCCTGAACCTCTAGCTGTCTTAACTCAGTATCCAGGGCCTGGAACTCGGCAAGGGAATTTGGATCTGTCCGGCCACGCAGTGATAACATGCAGTTCAATAGCCTATTTGACCCTTATTCCTAAATAATAAATGCATCCACGCGTTGTGCGTTGAGCTCTTGTGGAGTTGGTTGAATATGTGATATGTTTTTGTGCAAAATATTGATACATGTAGATAAGTATGTTCTGTAGTTGTTTTAAGTATTACTCACTTTGTTACAATGTAGTATATGTTCATAACTACTCCATTGGGACTCAAACCCACAATCTCTCATATAGGGGAGTAACTTGGTGCCAATAGTTAGCCATGGACCCGGGTTCACCTTGTAAGGTGGACCCGAATCAGAATATACAATTTATATACTGAATATTCACAATTTACATACTGAATATTCACAATTTAAATTGTGAACATTTAGTTTGTAAATTGTGATTTTTTAGTATATAAAATTGTAAACATTCAATATGTAAATTGTAAACATTCAGTATGTAAATTGTGAACATTCAGTATATAAAAATTGTGAACATTCAGTATATAAAAATTGTGAACACTCAGTATGTAAATTGTGTATTTTTAGACTCGAGTCTACAACATAATTTGCCACTTGGTGCCACTAGACCACAAGGTCATTGGCATGTTCCTTAATTGTTAAGTATAAAAGAAACAAAAACAAATCGAAGGTAACAATATATATAATGTTATTTTTAGTTTCATTTAAACATATTTATTGAGAGATGACTAAAAAAAAGTCATGCTATAATAATGTTATGATCAGGGGCGGATCCAGAAATCTTTGTCAATGGGGGCGAAAAATTAAAAACTAGTGAGATATTTTGAAAAAAAATACTTAAAAGTCAAGTCATAAATATTTTTAATTAGGATGAAAAATTAAAATACATCAAAATGAGATAGAAAAATATTCAAATTAAAATATAAAATATAACTAATTATATAAAATAATTTGAATAGAAAACATATTATAAAACACTCATATCACTATTAATATTAAAAACGAGGAAAAAAAACACAATACAAACACAAATTCCACAAAATATGAAATATAATTAATTAACTAAAATAGTTCCAATAGAAAACATATTATAAATCACTAATATCACTATTAATATTAAAAAATAAAATTTAAAAAACACAATGTTAAAAAATAAAAATTTCATTCGAATTAAAAAACACAATGTTACAAATAAATTCATGCTTGTAGGATTTGAACCCATAACATTAAGGGAAAACATAAATACCTTACCATCTAAGCTAAATCAACCTTTAATTATATTTATGTAAATTTAATATGAGTTTATTACCGAAATGGCCCATCGACTATTGTGAAATTGTCAATTTGGTTCTCGACAATTTTTCTTACCCAATTAAGTCATCGACTTTGAAAATGTTAACCATTTTGGTCATCCGTTAAAATTCCATCCATAAGCTGTTAGATTTAAGGACAAAAAGGTAATTTCATATATTTTATTTATTAACCATTTCCACTCCTTTACTGTAAAGCTCCTGGGAATCCTTCGCAATGGTCATCGAATGGGGATTGGTTCACAATCCCGACGACACATTCTTGAACGGATCGTAAACTCGGAGGTTATACCAAGCACACAACGCGATATAGCTTGTGCTATGAAAAACCAACCTTGGAACATGGAATTTCGCCGCCGCATCGGTCGCCAAAGGAAAGAACATGTCAAGTATAAGACAATCCGGTCGATGTTGCTGCAATAGCTGTTCCAAGGGTTCCTACAGCATCGCATAGGCTGCATGGAAATTCGGGACCGCATTGTCCGATGCTAGATCTAGCCGCTCGCAACCTTTCGGCAAGCCAGCCTGGGCGACTGGAAAATCTAGGACGACGATTTGGATTCGATGGCCAAGTTGTGTGGCTTTGACGATGGAGTCGGAGAAAACGTGCTTGTTTCGCGGGGTGGTGATAATGGTGGCCCTGACGCCTCGAGAAGCGAAGAGTTTTGCCATGTCGAGACGATCAGTTGCTGCTACCGCCATTGGATCTGCCTCAAGAAGCCAAGAGGAGTTGCTGAGCCTCGTTAGATTTGCTACTGCACCACTGGAGACCATCGCCGCTACTGGAGTTCACTGATGTAGTCGCCGGAGCAGAACTCAAGGTCGCCAGATCTTGCTGCTTCGACGTCAATTTGCTACTAAGCTAAGAGAACAGGGGTTGTCGGTCGTCGTTGCACGTCGGAGGAGCTCTGTTCGCGTCAGACGTGAGGGAAACGAGGGTTGTAGTGCTGCTAGCCAAAGCTGGAGAAGGACCCACAATCTGCCCTGATCGCTAGGAAAACAGAGATCGCCAGAAGCATGAGAGAGGTCACCGCCATCACCAACCACCTCCCTCTTTGGGCGGCTTTTGAAGCCAAAATAATAGTGACCAAACAAATGATGAGATTCACGCTTCATACTCACGCACAAGTTTCTCCGCCTCTCTGAATTAATTGGAAATGAGTCTTCTCATGCAAAATACCATTAATGCCCTCCAATTTAACGAACTTCTAACGCCTGATCTAACGGAGGACCAAAATGATTAACATTTTCTAAGTCGAGGGCTTAATTGGGCAAGAAAAATTATCGAGGACCAAATTGGTAATTTTATAATAGTCGAGGACTATTTCAATAATAAACTTGTTTATTATTTATAAGTTAACTATGTATATACAAAAGACCTATACATACAAATTATATATATATATATATATATATATATATATATATATATATATATATATATATATATATATATACATGAGATGGGGTGGGGGGGAGTGGAGGCAACTGCGCCCATTGTGGCTATGGCCACTGGTTAGGATCAACTGTTATGTTTTGAAAATAAAGATTAAAATTGAAATGATACGTATAAATTTTAAAAAAAAAAGAAAATGATTTAACACTTACAATTAAATAGATCAAAATGTCATGTATTTAACGTCTTTTAAATAATAATTTTGTTAACATAAGACAAAAAATAATCATGTCAAAATAATGCTAGGATTAAATATAAATGTTTAAAAAAATAATTAAAATATAAATGTAAACTGACATGTATAATTTTAAGAAAAAAAATGAAATTAGTTAAAAAGAAATAGTAAAAATATTTTTTTGAAAGGACATTTCCCATTTCGTGTAGAATCGTTCCGGAGATTTCGAAGTGAAAGGTTTCATTTCCCTCTAAAATATTTCTTCAGCTCAGAATATTCCTCTGCCGGTAACCCCTGTTTTTTGTTTGGTGCATATGCCTGTGAATCTGTGATTCAACTTCTCTAGATACTCTATACATACCCTATATGTAAATGCGCCGGCCGATCTCCTTCAATACTCGGAGCATTTGAAACAAGATTTTCCGGCCAAGCTAACAGTCGACAATATGCGATCTCACACTTTATCTGCCTCAAATTTGGACGCGAATTTCTCACGTCTATGTTTCTCTCAATCTGTTAAACGCTCTCCTCCTTCCAAGCCTTCCCGCTTCTGCGTTTCATTTTTTCAAGAGAGCTTCACAGTAAGATCTTGTTTCAACCTAAAGGTAATTCTCGAGATAAGATTACATTTATATGGATGTGTATGTGTAGGTATGTAATTCTTTGTGTGCTCGAGGCGTTTATTAGGTTTAATCGATGGTTTATGTGCGTATTATGAACAGATTCCTAGAGTTAATTCTCAGCACTGTGAACTTTGTTGTCGGAATAGGATTGTGCCTGTTCGCCTCATGGGTGAGGTAATTGTTGCTTCTTCTAATAAATGCATATCATCATTTGAAAGAAATGAGGAGCAATCGAATTGGTATTAATGTACTAGCTTGAGAACCTTTCAAGTTTCTCAAAAGTTCTGTATCAAGCATTCAAGCTAATCCAAACAAAATGGTGTCCTCATCAGAAATTACTAGGATATTGGTTTCACACTAGATGGCTGAGTGATAATTGTGGAAAGTTTAAATGATATGTGGAAACTATACATCATAAAAGTGGAAATTCATATTTTGGAGTAATTGGGATATGACTTTTCTTCCATGGTACCATACTGTCATGTTCCTTACGCTTGTCAAAAGTTCAATAGTGAATTCTGAAAACATGGAAATGACCTTTATCTACTTATCTAGGTTTTGAATTATACGGTACCTTCCTTCATGTTATAAATTATAATGTAATATTGTGATATAATGAAAACACTCTAGTTATTTTCATTCTCCATTTTAAATCTAAATTATGAAATATGTAACTAAGTCAACGATACCCACACCATTGGACTGGTTTTAAAAACTAACTAATTTTGAATTGACCTTTTCGTAAACTTCTTGAGGTGATATTGGAGTAAATAGTAGTCAAATTCAGAAGTATTAAGTTATTATACTATTGGGTGTAATAGGTAATGGAACTTGTTAGTTTCACATAGCCTGTCACAGGTTAAAACGTTCAGCATTTGATAAATTTGGTAAATTATGCAGGACTTTGATTTTTCAACTGATGACTGGGGGGAGAGTGATGGGATCATTGGATATGGGGATTATGGGATCTCATCAAGTGAAGGTGAAGAAAGTGATGGAGAAACTGTGTTACAACCAACGTCTGATGTTGACTTGCCTACCACGAAGGAGAAATCATATCCTGCTGATGACTCCATAACTGTAACTGCTCACAGGCTGACAATGCTAGGCAGAACACGGAGGAGAAGAAAGTATTGCCTACCTGTATAACTAACACTTTTTTGGTCCTTTTTGTTCTGAAGTTAATTTACTTGGGTGAAAACCCTGAGAAGGTGTACTCAGTTTATAAGCACCCTTAGTTGTGGCCAATAGGTTAGACTTTGAGTTATCCCAGGGTTATGTGGGGAACCACTCTTGACCTGTTTTCACTGGGGCTCAAAAAGAAGATATGATCCTGATTAGACTTCTGATTTATTTATTGTTTTTGTGTGATTTTTTTTTCTTTCCAAATTCTTTTGGGTCAAACATGAGAAATTTATATTCATTAGTAACTTAGTTCCCTATCAATTATCAAATGTCATGACAGTGAATACTAATTTCTGTCCAGTGTTTGACAGTGAATACTGATTGACTTTGGCAAGTTTTTGTTGCAGGATTAGGCATGGAATCCTAAACAATATTGGTCTTGTGACATTCTCAACATTGCTGCTCTTCTTAGTGGACTGCTGTGCTTGGAAAGTAGTCAGATTACCCTTGGCACCATTCTTTATGATGCGCCCCTTTCTCATATCTGCAGTTGCAGTGTCTTGCGTAGGCTATGTATGTGTTCCATTGTTTCGTACATTAAGACTTCGCTCTCTAATAAGGAGAGAGGGGCCTGCGCAACACTCTGCTAAGAAAGGCACCCCTACAATGGGTGGATTATATTTTATACCCATTGGTGTACTTGTTGCAGACAGTATACTAGGATTTTCTTCTGTGGAAGTTTTGGGAGCATCTGTAGCAACTCTTGCATTTGCTACAATTGGATTTCTTGATGATTTAGTAAGCCTCAAGAATAACAACCGTGGTTTATCTGCTTGGATTAGAATTCTCTTGGAGGTGAGTGGTTATACATCTCCCATTACTTTCATCCTTTTCTTAAATCTCATTGTTAAAGACATTATCTTCTCAACTCTGAGGATTAATCTTTAGTTTTGTATTTACACAGGTAGCTGTAGGAATATGGTTCTCCTTTTGGTTGAACACCACAGACATATCATCACCTTACAGCATGTATACACTCTTGTAACTATTTGATCAACCTTTTTTCTGATGGTAACTCACATATCTATTCTCGTATGACTGGTCAAGATGGCATCTTGTATTCTGATGTTGAACTGCACAATTGCACTTTTTATTTTTTATCCTTTTGGTGGTCAATCATATATTTCATTCTGTAGCCATGACCTTAACTTGGGATCTTTAGAAATTTGGGATCTGTAGATGAACTATCTAATGTCACTCAAATGCATCTAAGTTTTGAACTATTGCAGACTTGCAGTATAATCATATATGTTAGACCATTTGTCTTGTCTAAGGAATTTAAATGGGAAAAAAAGTAATGACATGAATATTTCCGCATTGCTGTCGATTGTGTGTTTGAAGCCTTGCCTCCTGGAATGCTTTCTTGAATACATTGTGGAGTTGTTCCAAAATAACTATTCCTTCATGGAATCTGTATATGTGCGGTTTGTACCATTTTGGCATATAAATAAATTTTCAGATTCTTTTTTCTTATTTTTTCCTTGCTTTCCTTTGTGTATGTTGGGGTGTGGTGGGAGGAGGGTGGATGGCTGAAAGGTGTAGGATGTTTGGATAGACACAGTTGAGCATCAGCGTTTCAGCTGGATAACTTTTGACTTCTTTGTTGCATGCAGGAAAGCAGTGGTTCCTCTGCCTGCACCCCTTGGTCTGGTCTGCCTGGGAAGGTTTTATCCAATCCTGACTTGTTTTTGCTTTACTTCCATGGCAAATGGAGTTAATCTTACAGATGGTCTTGATGGATTGGCTGGTGGTACTGCTGCATTGGCATTTATTGGAATGTCAATTGCAGTCCTTCCAATATGTCCTGGTTAGTATGAATTATTAAAAAAGCAGTACTGCTGTCCCAAATGGAGATTCATATCTTTTTGACCTGATGTTAATATTTTTTTTAATTTTCATTTAAATTTTATCATAAGGAACATGCTACTTGTAGAATATACAAAAGCCTCTTAATGTTTTACAGTGGATTATCATTCTTTGAGTGGTTATTACTGACTGTGAACTTATGCATGCATAATCAGATGTCGCGATATTTGGAGCATCAATTGCAGGAGCTTGTGTTGGTTTTCTTATGCATAATCGCTACAGAGCATCAATATTCATGGGGGATACTGGATCTTTGGCCATCGGGGGAGCCCTAGCTTCTATGGCTGCTGTTACTGGAATGTTCTTCCCATTGTTTATTGCATCTGGAATCTTTGTTGTGGAAGCGCTATCTGTTGTGCTACAGGTGCTGTGATTAGAACTCATTATTATCCTTCTATCCTCAACCTGTCAACAGCCTATTACTTATTATACATTTTCAGATGAATGCCATATTGTTTTTCAATTTTCACACTTGCATTAACATAACATAGTAGGTGTTACAAAATTCTTTTTTTATCAGGTGTCATTCTTCAAGGCAAGCCGAAAGTTTGTTGGAAATGGGCAGCGTTTGTTTCGGATGGCACCATTTCATCACCACCTGGAATTGTGTGGGTTGCGAGAACCGGTTATTGTGGCCGGAGCATACATTGTTTCATGCATCTTAGGCTTGTATGCGGGATATGTGGGTCTTATTTCAGTGTAACCAAGTGGTTTTCTTTACCTAATGTGAAGGACGACATGAGAGAGTTAACCAATTATGAAGTGTCAGATAAAGCAGTATTTGTCTTGCATTAGTGTATATGGTGATACTCTTAGACCGAGTGTAATCCTTCAATTCTTCTGCTTGCAATTTTATGTGGCAACATAAGAATAAAATGTTTTTAAAGACCTGCAATTGCAGGTCTGATGTAGTGGGCAAGCCAATTGCAACAAATGCGATTGCAAGTCTGGTGTAGTGGGCTAGAGCTACTCTAACTTAATTGGTTGGTTTGATTTCTTTTGTGAGTTGTTTATTACTCTTAACATAATATGAACTGCAAACTACTTTGTAATTAACATATTATGTACTTACCGTTAACATTATGTGTTTTAAATTTATTTATAGAAATACAATTTGTTAATTGTTGACACCAAGGTCTAGTCCATAGTATAATTGCCGTTTGTCTCATTATGGGCCTTTGTTAGCAAATGTTACAAAGCAAGTTTCACTCAAATCATATTTTTAGATAGTGTTTGGAGGAATTCTCATAAATCAAAGCTATAGCGGGTTATCTTTATCCTTTTTCATTATTTTACTTATTTTACTTCTTATTATTATTATTATTATTATTATTATTATTATTATTATTATTATTATTATTAGGATAAAGTTAGTCTTATTCTTAGGCTTTGTTTTTTCTTACAATACTTTTTCACTTAAAAAAAGGGTTCATGCTACCATATAATCATATTTGTAATTGGCTTACTATTTTCCTTACATTCTTATAATTCCAACTCACTCCTAAAATAATAATAATAATAGCTTTATTAAAAAAGAAAAAATTAGCTCACTTTGTTAAAGAATGTCAGGCTATGGTATGAGCTTGCATTAAAAAAAAAAAAAACATATTTATAGTTCTAAACTTTTAAAAGTGGGTCCACTTTCAAATCATATTAAACCATATACAAATGCCTAAAGCTACTATTCAAGTGCTTTGTTCACCACTTCCATCTGCCTGTCCGTCTGGAGATGTATAATGTACTGTGCTTAAGGGTCATACTGCTAAGTTCAAATAGCTTCTTCTAGATGATACTAAGAAAATTCAAACTTTGGCCAGATATGATAACACTCGGGAATGAATGTTGTCTGACAACAATATCGTTGAAGAGTTGTGTTGCTTGAGATGCAGAGAAATGAGTCGTACCCAAAGTGTGCGAACTTAGTTGGTCGATCAATGACCACTATGATGATGATGAAGCCATGCGATAAGGGTAGGCCTATGATAAAGTCCATCGTTAATATCTCAAACGTGTTCAGGCACAAGAAAGGGTCAAAACAACTTGGGGTGAGCGTTGAGCGAATTGGAGTAGGTTTGGAATGAATTTGCATCTAATATGTTAAAGGTGGATTTGAAAAATTTCTTCTGCATCTACATCCGCTAGGGGTACGAATCCAATCTAATTGTCGTGAAAATGAACAAATTTGAATTGGCTAGAAAAGAAGGCGAAAAGTCAGAATTTGAAAATAACAATAGAGGAAGAGAAACCTTAAACCCTAGATTAAATATTAAAAAAAAAAATTTAAACATTTAGAGGACTAGTCTAAATATGTTAATATTTCTAATATAACACTTTTATTTGCCTTTCTCCTGTCAGGCTACGCAAATTATGCCGTGGAATCGTGTTCACCGAGAATGGTGAACACAAGTCAAAACGACGTCGTTTTTAGGCAAAAAAAAAAAAAATCGCGGATGTGGAGTTAACGGCGCGTTACTGATCAAATTATGAATTTTCTGTTATAAGATTATGAATTTTATGAAAATTCATAATCTCATAACAGAAAATTCATAATCGCATAACAGAAAATTCATAATCTCACAACTGAAAATTCATAATCTCATAACAGAAAATTCATAATCTTATAACAGAAAATTCATAATCTCATGGTTCCAAAGTGAATGTGCAGGCATGGATTCATAATTTATGAATGTCCGTGATTTCGGACGAGAATATGTAGGCATGGTTCCAAAGTGAATGTGCATGCATGAATTCATAATTTATGAATGTCCGAAACTCCGAAATTATGAATGTAATGAAAATTCATAATCTCATAACAGAAAATTCATAATCGCATAACAGAAAATTCATAATCTCATAACTGAAAATTCATAATCTCATAACAGAAAATTCATAATCTCATAACAGAAAATTCATAATCTCATGGTTCCAAAGTGAATGTGTAGGCATGGTTCCAAAGTGAATGTGTAGGCAGTCACGTAATTAAAAAAAAAAAAAAAGAAAAAAAAAGAAAGATAACGGTGCACTAACACCGTTGGAACCGTGTTCACCATGAATGGTGAACACGGTTCCATGGCATAACGTCTGGTCAGGCTAAAAGTAGATTTAGGACTAGTCAATTAAAAGGGTCAAAATTGTTGGGGTGAAATGCATACCTAAGCTTATTGACTTCAAGAGGCTGCGATTATCTTGCTCCAATATAATATATGAGAGAACCCACCAGGCCTGTCCACGTAGACAGATTTCATGTTAGAGAGTTTAACACGGTGCTCATACTAAAAGGGATTAATATTAGACTGAGTTTATCTCAACAATTTTTTTTTTTGAATGATTAGCGGTGTTTGGAAAATAATTATTAGTTGATTGTGTCACTGAATTTGACTAGTTGATAACATTAGCTGATTATAAAAAAATGTTTGGTAAATTAGATGTTAGCTGATAGCTGATTACATGTATATTAACTTTTTAAAAAAGTTGATCAAAAAAGCTGCTTTGAGCAGCTTTTTGAATTTTTAACATTTTAGAGCAATAAATTGTTACAAAAAATTAATTAATCAAACTCTCATATTAGTTGTTTAATCAAGTCAAATAGCTAATATTGGTTAAACAAATCAAAATTGACTGATAAGCTAACTATGTTATCAAATAGAGCTTAGATAAATTATAATTAACAAATGATTATAAGTTGGTAAATGCAAAGTCTAATTTTGTAATTATTAAATTAATAAATTGACGAACTTTAAGTAGAGTTGCTTCATATTTCAACAATTCTATAATTCTATTACTCGTAAAATGGTGTTAAAAAAACTAACAAAGCCGGTCAAAGGTAACCATAGTTATGGTATTTGGTCTATTTTTATTAAATTATTTGTTTACTACATTATTAATAAAAGTCATTTGAAATTTGTACATGATTGGCTAACCAGTCGTTTTTTTACGGGCGCACTCAAGTGAAAAAGGATGTCCAAAAAAGAATTAAGAACTAATGGTAGGTATTCACGTATCCAGATTTAACGAATTAGATGTAATTTTTTTTAAAATGATGCGATTATATTTTTGTAAATAACTCAAACTTTAGTGCAAGTAACATGTGTTAAAAGTGCAAATAACTCGTGTAAGTGTGCAACAAAAAAGTGCAACTACTTTCACTTAATAGTGCAAGTAATTTACCTTTTTAACATTGGTGCACATAATGCATAACGTCTTTCACATTGATGCACTTAATAATAACGTTTGGTGCAATTAATGATAATGTTATGTGCACTTAATATTGATGCTCAGTGTACATTATTTGTTAAACTTTTAATACATTTCACTTGCAGTTATGTGCACTATATGAAACGGTTACTTGCACTTTAACACAATTTACTTAACTTCAAAGTTCAATTATTTATGAAAATGTCACTGTATTTTTATTTTTATTTTTAAACATAGCGTTTATGATCCATTAGATCCGGACACTTTGTACGGTTGCGATTGTTTCTCAGTTCTCTCTTAGGCATGTGGTTTTTACCGTCTCCTGTTTTTTTTTTTTTTTTTTTTTTTGACTTTTCTAAAAGATATATATGTATTATCAAATTCTACTCTTTTACTTTTATTTTACTCTATAATGTGACAAACAAATATGAGATATTTTTATCATGTGAATCCAAAAAAAAGTGTCTACATTAGAATTTTGTGAATGGAATAGAAGTGTTGGAAATAAGAAATAGGAGTGCATATATATATATATATATATATATATATATATATATATATATGAATTCATCTTCTTCCTCTTCCATAACAAATTAAAAAATAAATCAAGTTGGAGTATTATTGTGCAAAAGGTATGGAAGAAGCCCATATAGCCTTTGTTTCAACTCCAGGAATGGGGCATATAATCCCATTGGTGGAGTTGGCGAAGCGCCTCATCACCCAATACAGCTTCACTGCAACTCTCATCCTCCCCGCCTTTCAAGATGCCGGCCCCGTTTCCACTGCCCAAAACGCTTTCCTCCAATCCCATCTCCCCGCCGGCATGGACTACCTCCTTCTCCCTCCCGTTCCCCTCCACCAACTACCCCCCGATGCTCGCCCCGTCACGCGCATGTGCCGCACCATGGACCTCTCTCTTCCCGCGCTCCGGGAAGCCCTCCAGTCGTTGATGGTGGCGAAGACCCGCCGCCGCCTTGTTGCTTTGGCGGTGGATCTTTTCAGCACCGGCGCTTTTGATGTGGCTGATGAGCTCGGAATCATGACCTGCGTTTTCTCCCCTTCCGCGGCTTTCATCTTGTCGTTTACTCTTTACTTGCCGGAGCTGGATTCGTCTCTGCAGCCCTGCGATGAGTTCAGAGATCTTCCTACACCGGTTCAGATCCCGGGGTTTTCCGTCCCGGTTCATGGAAAGGACCTGATTGACCCGGTCCAGGACCGCCAGGACGAGACGTACACCTGGGTTCTTCACCACGCTAAGAGGCTTTCACTCGCTCAAGCCATCATGGTGAATAGCTTCAATGAAGCAGAGCAAGGTGCAGTAAAAGCTTTGCAGGAATCTGTACCTCCGGTTTACCTGGTCGGACCGCTTGTTCGGATGGATTCAAGTAGCAATAATAACGTTGTTAGTGGTGATGATGAATGCCTGCAATGGTTGGATGAACAACCTGAGAAATCTGTGCTTTTTGTGTCGTTTGGAAGCGGGGGAACTCTTTCTCATCAACAGCTTATTGAGCTAGCATTAGGGTTGGAAATGAGTGAGCAAAGGTTTGTGTGGGTGATCAGAAGTCCGAGTGAGAATTCATCAATGGCCTTCTTTAGTACCCAAGATCCAGGTGACCCTCTGTCATTTCTACCAGAAGGGTTCGCGCAGAGAATCAAGAATAAGGTCGGTGTTGTGGTGCCCAATTGGGCCCCACAACACCAGATACTAAGCCATCCCTCCACAGGCGGGTTCTTGACTCATTGCGGGTGGAACTCGATTCTCGAGAGCATTGCGTACGGGATGCCGTTGGTTGCATGGCCGCTCTATGCTGAGCAGAAGATGAATGCCCTACTGCTAACTGATGATCTGAATGTGGCTCTGAGGCCTAAGGCTAGTGATGAGAATGGGTTGGTGGGGAGGGAGGAAATTTCAAGGGTTGTCAAGGGGCTAATGGCTAGTGAACAAGGAAAAAAGATGAGAGAAAAGATGGGATACCTAAAAGATGCAGGCTTAAAGGCAATTGGTGATGAAGATGGCTCTTCCACAAAAGCACTTGATCAAGTAGTTTCCATTTGGAAGAGCAAGCTAGCTAAGACCATTTAATTAATTTCCATATAATATAATTCAGCAAAATTAAATGTATGTGTGGTTCAATACTCCAATCTTACAGCTTTTATAGTGATGGATTTGCAGGCTTCAATTCCCTTCATTTATGAGAAGGAACTTATAAGTTATACAATAGTATGTTTGCATTAGAATGTTGAGTTTCACATTGCAAGACTATTTAAGAAATAGACATTTTAAGAATATGTACTTCATAAATCATAAATAATAATATGAATAATTCTTATATACTCTTATATATATATATATATATATATATATATATATATATATATATATATATATATATATATATATATATATATATATATATATATATATATATGTGTGTGTGTAAAAAAATTGAGTTAATTTCAGCAAAGGTCCTCCGAGTATAGCGATTTTCCACAATTGGTCCCCGTCTTTTAATTTGGACAAAATTGACACTTGACTATCAAAATCTTTCCAATATTGGTCCTTCTGTTAAATGACCGTTATTTGGACGTCAAAATAAGGGGTAAAACCGTCATTCCATCTGCTAATGTTGTCTTCTTCTTCTTCTCCATTCCCCTCTCTATACGCAAACATTACCGGGCATCTTTAAAATCTGGAATCCTCTGCATACCGCTAAAAATGCCATCTTCAAAAACCGATTCACCAAATCAAGGCAAAATAACGCAAAGAAAAAACAATGAACAAGAACAACAAAAGCAGGAGAAACAAACAAACACGCAAGCAATCAATCAAGGTAGAGGCATATGCATATATACGGGATTGAGAGATCACAAAAATGAGAGTTTTTGTTAGAATTTCAAAGCTGAATCGTGGAGAAGGAGAGAGAATGAGAGCCTTTTTTTTTTTTTTTTTTTTTTTTCCCTTGGTGTCTCTGCTAACAAATGATCTTTTAGTTCTTTACTGATTAGGTGGGTCTTGTGTTGTGGGACTCCCCCTCCTGGACTTGTTTAATAAGAAGTTGGTGCATTTCATTCTTGAAAATATATGGTGGAAATCACACTTGCATACCAAAGATTCAATTTGTCTATGAACCTCTGGCTTTTTGTAGGTAGAGAGGTGATCAAAAAGGAGGAGAGAAGAGAGGGTGAGAGTGACAACTAAGAAGAACCAGGAAGCCACGGTGGTAGTTACAGGCGCCACATTTTAGGGATGCCACTGTTCCCTCTTGGCCGCCGGGCATGAACTCGCTGCACTCATCCATAACGCTTCCTCCAATGCTAACCACATGATTTTTCAGGCACTCTCGGTGCCGGATCACACTGGGTACGACGGCAAAGTTTTCTTCTTTCTGCAGAGGCAGAGTTTTCTTGTTTCTGCGGCGGCGGCGCGTCATCTACACCGGCTAAAAATCCCCCACCGATCACGTTCAATGCCATTCTAGAACTGCAATTAAGACAATTACATAAAGCATAAACCTTAATTATCAGCAAAACAAAGCAAATGAGATTCCAATGCAAGAAAGAACCCTAGTTTTAAGAGAGAGAACCGCCATTCTTAAGGTTGGTTTGAGAAAATCGAGATGGTATGTTTCATATGAAAGTGAAATGCTCGGAGGAAGATAATGACGATGATATTGTTGAGATTACTCTCGGCATCAGCTATGATTAGGGTTAGTTTGTTTGGGAATTTGAGATTCGGAGATGATGATCGAAGGTGTTTGCGTATAGAGAGGGGAATGAGGAAGAAAAGACAATTAGCAGATGAAATGACGGTTTTACCTCTTATTTTGACATCCAAATAACAACCATGTGACGAAAGGACCAACCTTGGAAAGATTTTGATAGTCAAGTGTTAAATTTGTCCAAATTAAAAGACGAGAACCAATTGTGGAAAATCACTATACTCAGAGGACCTTTGCTGGAATTGACTCTAAAAAAATTATAAGAGTGGATCCATGTTAGTACTCTTGATTTATATATGTCCCTATTTTTATACTTATTGAGTTGTACATTACACTAAATATTGTATTATTATTATTTTATCTGAAAAACTTGCTCTTACATTGTTAAACTCCCGTTATTATATATTAAATGTTATCATAATTATACTCAATCATTTATCATATTTAAAAACATTACTTTAATAATCATTAATCATAGAACTGTTGAAAATTTTAGTTAAAATGACAATTATGATTGACTATTTTGTGGTATAAATATATGTGAGGTCTACTTTTGATTTGGGTCGGGTCGGGTCAAAATATATTCAAGTTCTTTGGAGGGAGAATAAGAAATTAATATATTATCTTGTACCCTCAATATGGATAATATAAAGTAGACCCATTTGAGTTAAATTAAAATGGAGTTAGGAAAACTTGGAAGTACCTTAAGTTTAAACAACTGACGCACCTTAAGCACACAAACCACACTCCTTAAGAAGGAAAACCAGACACCTAAAGCTTTAGATCGACGCACTTAAGTTGTTAACAATTGACGCACCTTAAGCCACACAGTACAAAAACCATACACCTTAAGAAGGAAAACCACGCACCTTAAATTTGACCAAGATGCAAAAAGACCAAATTGCCACCGCGTTTTTTTAATCATTGTTAATCTAGGACGTTGGTTTAGATAAGATCAATGGCTCAGATTTAATCGCACAACCGCACGGGAACTAGATTATATATATATATATATATATATATATATATATATATATATATATATATATATATATATATATATATATATATATATATATATATATATAGTTAAGTTCAAATGAGGACCACTATATTATAGAGGACTGTGCGGACTGGCGTAGTCGTGTGCCTAGCCTAATATAGTCGTGTGCCACAGTTTGTATGTCATGTGCATATGTTTGTTAATTAATAGAGCCTGGCTTCGAAACTTGATGTTTACATGTATTCTTGCGTGCCATTGTGTATTAAATTGTGTGCATGATACTAATTTGTTGTGTGTCCATAATCAGTCCGCACAGTCCTCTATATATTGTAGTCCTCATGTGAACTCAACCATATATATATATATATATATATATATATATATATATATATATATATATATATATATATATATATATATTTAAGACCATATGAGAACATGTGCTTAGGTGAGAACGTGAGAACACATCACATCCATCTAATATTTTGTAATGGTCTAGATTAGATTAAGTGTGTGCGAACGCGCATTAAATGTGTGCAAATTCTTTTTTGTTCGTTTGGATGGGATTAATTTCCTAAAATTTTCGAATCCCTTGGTTGGAAGAAATCGGATGTTGGGAGACTAAAGTTGAATGTAGATGCAACTATCAATTCTGGGAATAAAAGAAATGGGGTTTGGTTGAATTCTTAGTAATGCTTTGAGTGAGTTGGTTATGACCAAGTGCGTTTAGTGGGAAGGCCCGGGGGTGTATCAACCAAACGAGGTGGAGGCGATTGGGGTACGGTTAGGGGGCTCTAAAGTAATTGAAGGACTTGTAGGTGGATGGTATGGATTTGGAGATGTATGTGCTACAAGTCCATCAAGCTATTATGGGGATCGTCACTAATAGAAAATAGATATTACAACAATTTCTTTACACATATACAGAAGTTTACTAAGTGTCGTATAAGTACCGATGTAGTAAATAAATAATATTGATAGGATATACGTCCGACCCGCTCAGTTCCACTCACCGACCGAAATCCTGTGTGGTTCACCGCTAGTCCATCATGTTCGAACCGTTGGCCTTCTCCCGATCGGCTCTGTTTGCTCGACCGACCGACCGCTTGCATCCAACCGATTACTCTTCTTCTGCTGTGCATATCTGTTTTACGCCAATCCACGTGTCGATAGTAGCGGATGCCAGAAGAACAGTTCTTAGCTAAGGACATGTATGTGCAACGTAGTTATCATGCCGACAGCCTGGGTTTTTGTTCCCCCTTCGTGCCTATAAGTAGCGGTAGTCACAATAGCAGGGGGGACTTTTGGACAGAAAAGAGGAGACCCTTGAGAGCTTCCCGACCACCACTCGGTCGCACTTAGAGATAGGTCGACCTACTGATCTGTGTATTAGTACTATCATTTTTGCGCCGTCTGTAGGGACCGACACTACAAGTCACGATCGACGCAATTCAGTCTCCGTATATGTATCCATTCATGTATAATCAAGAAGAGGGCGAGATTAGCTCCTCTGATCATCACACCCAACGCGGGCCACCTGTCGATCTCAATCTTTCTCCAGGTCGACAAGAAACCCCTGACCTGATCAATTTCATTCACCATGCTCAACAAACTCTGGGTCAACCGTTCCATTATCCAGGATTACCGCAACCGACACCTAGCACGACCTAGGGATTCTGGCCCAGTACACCAGTCCATTGTCCACCGGGACCTTACCCTCAATTTCCAGGCATGTACCCACCGCCTCCTTTTGGCCCAACATACACGGCTTCGGCCCTGGCTCCTCAATAGTCTACTGGTTTATAGACCGAGTCAAAGCTCCAGCCTGGACAACAGGCTCGTCGCCCGGCTCGCTCAAGGTTGGGGTCGCAGGGGGCTGGTACTCGGGAGGAGCCGCGACAACAACATGGGCCACAGGCGCCTCGAATGGATGAACCAGAGCCACAGGTACAGCAGGCTAGTGCCTTTGAAAGACTTCGGCCGCAAATGCATCAGCGCTTAGGACCCCAGGACGACGATCGAAGGTCGGTTGATTCACCCATGAGAACGGTCAATCACGGAGATTCCTCTGAGGCCGGTGCTTCTCGAGCACCTCGACACCGAAGAGCCCGAGAGGTTGCTCGGAACACAGTGTAGACTGAAGCGCAGGGATTGTTAGATCAGGTTCGGGAAGAGTTTAATCGGTGACAACAGGAACATGGGTCGGGCCCGACAGAAGTTGCCACTCCGTTGTTGCGAACACCGTTCATAGCTGACATCATGGCTCAGTCGTACCCTCATGATTTGCGCATCCCTGGTGCCAAAGATTATGACAGGAAGATCGATCCGGAGGTTCATGTCAACTCTTATTATGGCAATATGTTGATGATGGGAGTGAAGCACGCGGTTATGTGCCGTGCATTTTACTCCACATTGACTGGACGGGCCGCCGAGTGGTTCAAGTCATTGGAACCCGGCTCCATCACGTGTTTCGCCAGTTTGGCCACCAAGTTCGTTCGAAGGTTTGTTACTTCCAAGACCATCTGGAAGAATTTTATGTTTTTTGGAGAAGGCGAAGCCATTGGAGGGAGAAACATTGACGAATTTTTTGATCAAGTGGAGTAGTGCCATTGGAGAAGTTGAGCCTATGGACGACCTCACGGCGATTCATATGTTACATTCCTCCCTTTGGGCTGGAGGCCTGTATCAAGATTTTATCTTGCACCCACCCTCGACATATAAAGAGGCCATTCGCCGAGTGACCAATTATGCCAACGCTGGAGAGGCGAATGCGGCCAAACAATCGCAAGAGGTTGGCCCTAGCCAGAAGCCATCAGGACGACCCGAAAATCACCACTCTGATCAGTTGGGTAGAGGTCGTGGCCGTCATGTTGATTTTAATCCCTTGAATTGTTCTGCTGCGGAGGCCCTTCGGTATGCTCAATCGTGCAATTTAATTCGCCTCCCCGAACCATTGAGGGATGGTTGAGACAGGTCAAAACATTGCGCGTATCACTGATCCAAAGGATATGACACTGAGGAATGCGCAACTCTGAAGCAATTGCTAGAAGATTTATTGTAGGTTGGGAAACTGGATCGGTTGGTGGAAAAAGAAAGATGAAGGCAGGTAGTTTTCATGGAGGAAGTCATCCAAGAAGTCTGATCAAGTGGCGAAAGATAAAGGCCCTGACCATGATCCCGCTCCACCGTCAAAGCAGGTTATTCATGTGATCTTTGGTGGGATAGAAGATAGCGCCCGATCGGGGGAGCGCCTGCCGGTCGGAATTGTTGAGTCCCGAGAAACTGGGAAGAGGCAGAAAACAGAACCAATCACATTCACATTAGAAGATCAGCTTGAAAACATGGATCAAGGGATAGAGGCCCTAGTTTTCACCATTGACATTATGGGAGTTGATGTTCAAAGGGTGATGGTCAATACCAGCAGTAGCGTTAATGTCCTTTACTTGGACGTTATTCAGAAGCTTAACCTGGACCCGGTTGAATTGACTCCGATCGCTACTCCTCTATCAGGATTCACCGGAGATACAATACACGCGGAAGGAAAGATAAGCTTGCCGATGGAAATCGGGACTCCACCCCGAACGGTCAAGACGATGATAGAATTTGTAGTGGTGGATCTGCGATGTGTACACAATGCGATTTTGGGTCGTCCGGCCATTATGAGAATTTGAGGAATTATCTCTGTGCCGCACCTTTGCATGAAGTTTCCTATCCCCGCCGGGGTAGGAGTCCTCCGGGGAGACGTTCAGACCGCTCGGAAGTGCTACTCTAGGGCGTTGAATATGCGAGACACCGGGACCTCACAGGTCAATACCATCGCCAAGGATACCAACGAAAGACGCAAGGAGCAGCCCGGGCCGTGTGAAGAAGTGGAAGAAGTCCTGCTCCGTGAGGACCAGCTCGATTGAAAAATTAAGATCGAAAGATCCTTAACCCCTGAATTGCGGAACGAGATTTTGTTAGTACTTCGTGAATTCGCAGATATCTTTGCCTGGGGATCGGAGGACATGACGGGCATTGACCGAGCCATTGTTTGCCATCATTTGGCTGTTAACCTGGATGCCAAACCTGTAAAACAGAAGACCCGTCATCTCTCAACCGATCGTCGAGAGTTTATCCGAGAAGAGGTAAAGAAAATGGCATCGATCAGTCATATTCGGCCTGCCATTTGTCCGGATTGGGTGGCAAACATAGTATTAGTTCCTATGCCACCGTCATGGCAGATGTGTATTGACTTCACTGATCTGAATAAAGCCTGCCCGTTAGACCCATATCCTCTACTCAGTATACATCAGATGGTCGATGTGACGATCGGAGCTGAGTTGATGAGCTTCATGGACGCCTTCAAAAGCTATCATCAGGTTATGATGGCCCAGGAGGATGAGAGCAAAACATCCTTCATCAAGCCGGATAGCTTATATTGTGATAGGGTTATGCCCTTTGGGTTACGAAATGCCGGGGCGACTTATCAATGGACGGTTAATACCTTGTTTGAGAAATTGCTAGGCCATACCATGGAAGCATACATCAATGACATGCTGGTCAAAAGTCGAAACCGACCGAACCACGCCCGGGATCTTCGCTAGTGCTTCGAGATCATGCGCACATATCGGCTTCGTTTGAACCCGAATAAGTGCATATTTGCTGTCCAAATGGGAAAATTTTTGGGGTTTGTGATGACTAAGCGCGGAATTGAGCCCAACCCTGCAAAGGTTAAGGCTATTCTCGACATGCAAACACCCTCTACCGTTTGGGAAGTTCAACAACTGACTGGATGACTCGCGGCCTTAAGCCATTTTCTCTCCAAGTTGGCTGAGCGAGCATTACCCATCTTCAAGGTTTTGAGAAAGGTCAGTGGCTTCGTTTGGGATGATGACTGTCACTCGGCATTCAACAAACTGAAGGAGTAGTTGATGTCCCCGATCATTCTGGCCAAGCCTGAGCTTGGCGAATATTTGGATGTATACTTGGTTGTATCCGACCGGGCGGTGAGCGCGGTGCTATGCTAGATAGATAAGGAAGGACTACAGCAGCCCGTATACTATGTCAGTCATGCCTTACAAGGACTGGAGCTCCGATATTCTCAGATGGAGAAGTCAGTTTTTGCGCTCTACACAGCCGCCAAAAAGTTGGCCCCGTATTTCCAAGGACGCACCATCCTCGTTAGGCCGATTAGTTAAATGGGTCATTATGCTTACCTAGTTCGCCATTGACTACAAGTCGACCGGCTATTAAGGGTCAGGCCCTGGCGGATTTTGTGGTCGAGTGCACCGCCCGCGATACCCAATTGCACGACTCTGAGGATCGCAACGCTGCCTGGTGGGACGTAGCCACCGATGGATCTAGTGGGAAGAAAGACTCGGGAGGAGGGGTGGTGATCACTAGCCCAGAGGGTTTTAAGATCTATTATGCGCAAATATATCATTTTACCCCGACAAATAATGAAGCAGAGTATGAAGCTTTCATTGCGGGTCTGCAGTATGCCCGAGATCTGGGGGCTATTTACGTCCGGGCTCAGACGGACTCATCCTTGGTGGTTGGGCAAGTCTTGGGGGGCTTTGAGATTAATGTCGACCGCATACATCAGTACCGCAATTTAGCCTTGGAAAAATTAAGCGCTTTTCGAGCATATGCGGTACGCCATGTACCCAGTTTGGATAACGCTGATGTGGATATTTTATCCAAGTTGGTCCAAGAAGCGCCAGAGCACATCTCCCGCATCGCTCGGGTGCTCGTAATCCTACCCCCCAACATAGATTATTTGGAGGTCCCTCCTGTGCAGATGAATGCGGATGGCTGGATAACAGATATCATGTCGTACCTACAGGATGACCGTCTACCGGACGACTAGAACGAGCCCGGAAAGCCAAACTCCGAGCCCCGAGATTTCAAATATTGGAAGGCCGCCTGTATCGTCGCTCGTACGGGGGCCCTTTAATGAGATGTCTAACCGATTTTGAAGCCGACGTTGTCATGACAGAATTACACTCAGGCTTGTGCTCTTCTCATCAGGGTGGACGGCCTCTGGCTCGTCGAATCATGGTCATGAGCTACTATTGGTTGTCGATTCAACTTGATTTTGATGAGAAGCTGGCTAAGAAGAGCGAGACTTGTCAGATCTTTGCCCGGATGCCTGGACGCATGGCGACCTTTTATCAACCAGTCAGCACTGCGATTCCTTTTGCTCTGTTGGGAGTTGATATCGTCGGTCCTTTTCCTCAGTTGACAGGTCGCCGATGTTTTATCATTGTTGCCATAGATTACTTCTCCAAATGGATCGAAGCCGAGCCATTAGCAATGATAACTTCGCACCAGTGTGTTCGCTTCTTATGGCGCAATGTGGTTTCGCATTTTGGAGTCCCGGTTCAGCTCGTTACTGATAACGGTCGGCAGTTCGAAGGGCAGTATTTCAATATTTTTTTAGCTACTATTGGGACGATCTCTATTCAGTCATCAGTTGCATACCCTAACGACCAAGTCGAAAATGCAAATCGAACAATCCTAAACGGGTTAAAGAAAAAGCTATATTCTGCTGGTCGCAATTGGGCAGATGAACTCCCGTTTGTCTTATAGACGTACCGAATGACTCCTCGGGAAGCCACCAAAGAAACGCCCTTTGCACTCGTTTATGGTGCGGAAGTGCGCTTGCCTGTGGAGGCATGGATTCCTACCTCCCGAGAGCACGCATATGTTCCTGAAGAAAACGACCGTTTAATGGCCCTTGATTTAGATTGCCTTGAGGAAAGGAGAGAGCTGGTCGCTCGTAGAGCAGCAGAATATTAAAAGAAAGTCAAGACTAGTCGGGATGTTCAAGTCGGGCCTCATTACATTCAGGTCGGGGATTATGTTTTGCGCCGAAGAGAGGCGAGCCAGCCATTGGAGGGCGGTAAGTTTGCCCAGAACTAGGAAGGACCATACGTTATCTCAGCTGTGGTTCGACCAGCCACCTACCGACTGGAATCTACGACAGGAAGGCCGATTGAACGCACATGGAATTCTGAAAACTTGGTCCTATTTTGGCACTAGAGTTAGCGAGTATCTTGTATCGTCGGCCGGGAGGAAATTAAGTCCTGTGCGCCTAAATCGTGTAATCGACCCATTGTAACTAGTATTTAGTATATCCGTACTGGTCTTTAATGTTTGTAATTTTGTTAAACAGCTTGTAAGATATTTCCTTTAAGGTAGATATAGACGCTCGGTTGCGGAAACTACCAGCCGTAGATGCGCAGATGCTATATAACAACCCAGTTTACCACCGATGAGGGTCCTCTCGACGACCATAATGTTGCTTAAACATATTCGGCCACGCTGATGAGGGTTTATGCCCGACGACCGCAAAGTCGCTTAAACTTTTTCGACCGCGAAGTCGCTTAAACTTTTCAACCGCAAAATTGCTTAAACTTTTTGACCACAAAGTCGTTTAAACTTTTAGACCGAAAAGTCGCTTAAACTTTCACGGCCTCGGACGATGCAGACAGGAACCGGCCTGCATGTCACGGCAAAACACGCTTCTTACCGCATCCAGGTCGCAAATCGAAGATCCCACCATGAGGATTGACCAACAAACTTCCTTATAACGCCCATTTTATACTCTCAAAAACACACAAACCTTATGCCTTTGAGAGTTGGGGCTAGGAGTGGTAGTTATAGTTTTTGTTGTACTCGGCGCGACCCTAAACTATAAGAGCAAAAGCAATAAAAATTACGCGAGTAAAATAGAATATTACGGTTGAACAAAAGCACGAAAGATTAAAATAAACGCTTGGCCGTAAACAACCGAGCACCCATCTTTACAAAATATTTTTGTCAAAATAGTTAATTGCTCGGTACAAGGGAACCGAGCTCCCCGATTTGTATAGCCAACGTAAAAAAGAAGAACACAAAATATTTACGAGCCTTGCACGTCTGGTTTGGCTCCCCCCTCTGGTATAAAGCCTTGTTAATCTGTTTGCCCTTCTGTCATCGTCTCGGGATCTGTGGAGGTGCAAGCTGGGCGGGATCTGTGGAGGTGCAAGCTGGGTCAGAATATGGTGTAGGCCCAAGGTCGGGGGTGTCATCCAGGTGGTTGGCCAAGACCGTCTTAAGGTTGTCACCTTCAAAGACCTCCTCCATGATAGTCTATGCCTCTTTTCGCATGGCACATTGACCGGATGCATATGCCCAGTTTCCAAAGGCCAAAACCATATCCTCGTCGAGTTTCTCTTTCATGAAAGCTCAAAAGAATTGCTCGGTAGACGTCGAGTCATGACAGAGAAAAGTAGCCAAGCCGTCCATGTTGCTGAGCCGACTCTTCATCTCTTTGAATTCTTTCCGAGCGACTCGGGCTTCCTTCTCAGCCACCGATCGCTCATCCTTTGTAGTCTCGAACTCCTTCAGCTCTTTGATCTCTGGTGGGTGTCGAATCCAACAAATAATAAAGTACTTACTCTTATTAATTGTAATAGTAATGAGTAAGGTCGTACCCACAGAGATTGGTTAGACTTAATTTTATGACAAGATTAAATTAAGAATAGAATGGCGATTCAAGTTCAAAATGCAAATAATGAAATGACAAAAATATTAATATCAAATAAAATGAATCAATAGAAAACTAGTATCCAACCCAAGGTATAATATCAGAATTGATTCAAAGGAGTGATCATTGAAATAAAGTGTAATCCTTTTATCCTACACCAAACTGGTTATGATTATTAACAAGCTCTAACAACCTATCTCTCCTTACTTTATCGGTAATCAAAACAGGCTCTTCAATTACTTCCCTAGACAATTAACAACCCTAAACAAGCTCTTAGAATTTAATTAATTACCAGCATTAAAAATTAGAAAGACTACCAATTCCAGCCAACAGACTCGCAAGCTCGGTCTATCTAAACTAGATTTTACATCTCCATAACATAAGATTGAAAATCTAATTTATAAACAACTATGTTATTTTACCACTAAGGTTTAGAATACTTAAACAATTACGGATTCAAGAATTCTAAATGGCAATTTACTGGAATGAAAATTGAACAACGGATCCTTTTTGCACAATTAATCAAAGCAGCAATATATCAAGATAATAGAAGATATAAAAATAATATAGCATAAAACAAAACCAAATTAAATCTCACAATCCTAAAAGAACCAAAACTTCAATTATTCTTGAGTTGGAAAATAAACTTAGCAGAACATAATAATTAAAAGTTTATAGAGAAATAAAATTGTTCTAAAAACTGATTGAAAACTGCTGAAAATTCAGCCCTATTTATACTAGTTCAGGCTCCCTAATCAGCTCAAAATAACCCTAATTTCTCTACCATTCACAAATTAAATTCATATCTTAAACCACATAAAATCTAGAAAATAAATAATATTTATTTTCCTAACCAGAGAAATTTAACAAAGTAGGCTCCAATTACTCTTGGCTTCAATTGAATTCGTCCGCACATAATTGTTGTAGATGAAATCTTCGCGGCGTACGTTGCAGCAGTTCGTGGAAGCCGTTCGTGTCGCAGCCTTCTTTGCAGCAGTCGTAGAAATCGCTGCTCTAATCCCTGCGTAAAAAGCTAAATTTGAACTACCAATTTAATTTAGGAAAAAGGCA